GCTGAACACAGAGAATTCTCCTGGTACAAAAAAAAATAATCATATTTAGTCCTGTCACCATATTAAAATTGTTTTGCATTCTGTGACTATTTCAACTCCTGATGCAACCAAATACCATTTATGCTTGGCAGTGCTGAGAGGACACAATGTACTTTGGGGTAGTGGTGCCTGTTCACAGAACAATTCTTACACTTTGTGCCATTTCAGGCATTGAGTCAGAACTTTTGCTATCTTACTGTGAGGAATGTAAACTTCAAAAAAAAAAAAAAAGATAAACTACGTGAGATATGCTACTTGAAAGGTATTTCATCACAAGCTTTCTGCTGGCCTTTAGAGACTCATTACCTGCAAATACCAGCAGGGCTGAGCCACCATTTATCCTCCCTTAGGGTCCACAGGAAAGACAGAGGGATGCTGGTGGGAATTCCCTGCTAGAGTCAAATGTCTGGAGATCCAGAGCAGAAAAATCTCTATCAATGACAATCCTGTAATGTTCAGTTTATTCCAGAGATCTTCAATGCTGCTGGATCAGTGGAATAGAAAAAGGTCACCAAGTTTACCTCAAGTGAACCCGAGTAATTCCTGAAAAATTAGTGCCCTTAATGACTTGCTAATAGCATTGATGTCTCTTTGCTGGCTCCATATCCAGGATCATACTGCAGGATTGGACCTCTAAATATACAATTTAGGTATCTCTTACAAATAAACAAACCTACAGTGGGTTTAGCTTTGCTAATCTGTTCTTACAGTTCTACAACATAAAGACACTAAGTCTGTGTGCTGGTCTTGGGCCTTCCAGAAGGGCAAGAAGTTGGTCAGTTTTTATCCTGAGAGCCAAATACCTCCTTCTAGTCATTTAAAGAAGTGAATTTGTTCATCTATTTGCCTTCAGTCTGGCTGGAGTGCCAGAACAGTCTGCAGGGTGCCCTTAACAAAACATGCAAATACAGCCACAAGGAAAACAGGAACAGCTTTCCAGGCCACTGCACGTAGCTGGTTCCCAACAGCTAAAGGCAGGAGTGCAGGCTGCTCCCTGCAGGTAAAGCTGCAGTGTTGCATGGAAAGATGAGAGTTAATACTATTTGCCTTCAGTCTGGCTGGAGTGCCAGAACAGTCTGCAGGGTGCCCTTAACAAAACATGCAAATACAGCCACAAGGAAAACAGGAACAGCTTTCCAGGCCACTGCACGTAGCTGGTTCCCAACAGCTAAAGGCAGGAGTGCAGGCTGCTCCCTGCAGGTAAAGCTGCAGTGTTGCATGGAAAGATGAGAGTTAATATTCTGGTTTCCATGAATTTCCCTTCTACATTCCAGAGACCACAGCAGTCAGTACCAAAAACCAGGAGTTCTGTCTCAATCTCATGATGTCTTTTACATGGAACTGCATTTCTCTTACATTCTGTGATAATAACTCAAATAAAAACTTGTTCTGTTGCACACATGAAGTATAACCAAATCCTCCTTTAAAGCCAAAGTGATTTCTATGGAAGTCTCAAGTATTTCCCACAAATTCACTCACTCAGACAAATGTAAAGCTCAGGGGAAGAAGCTGAGAAGCATATGCATAATTTAGAACAGACACTGATCCAAATGCCAGTGCTGGTGCTCCAAACCCTACTGGAAAACTCTGGCTCCATCTAGAGATTAATCCCTCAAACTGCAGCCCTGGAATTTCGGGTACAACGCGGGGACAGCAGGAGAAAAACACCATTGACATCTCTTCCCTTTTTTCCATGCCGGGGGAGATGAGGATGGCCCCGGATGTGTCACCCAAACACTGTACCACCCACGAACCTGTCAAATCCAAACTAAGAGCTTTGTAGTTCTGGGTATGCAGGAAAGAATTTAAACTATATTACCCAAAATAGCATCCCTTGCTATTCCCTGCTGTCACTGCTGGAATGCTCTAGGACAAACAAAAGTTTTATTCAACGGATCTTAGCTAGATACGGGAATGACACTGCCTCACATGCATTTGTTGTGTTGTTCCTGTGTAGGAGCAGAGCAGCATAAACAGTGTGCACTGAACATGTTTTTGTGGAATAAACAGGAAAAAGCAGTATCCATAACCCAGTCACGGCACAAGACAGACTCACCAAAGCTATGCAGCTTGTTCTGTTTACAGCAAGAGTTCAAAACTACATGCCTAGAAAGCTCATTTATGTCACTGGAAAAGGGTTGGAGGAGAAAGGAAAAAAAATAAAACTAAATCCAAAGCAATTCTTTCCAGTGGTGGGGAAGTGCCCCAGGATCAGCCAAGGGATGTGAAGGGTATTTAAGATGAATGCAGAGTTCACCTTTCCAAGGCTTATTGTTCATGTAAGTAAATCTGCAAGAATCTCACCTCAACATCCTGCTTGTTAGCCAACACCAGAATGGGAACCCCTTCCAGAGCTTCACTGGTGATCATCTTCTCTGCAAAGCACAGACACAAAACCAGAGGTTTAACCAGTTCTGGAGGTTGTACAAATGGCTGGCACAGACTATCTGGACAGAGGGATGAAGCAAGAGGCTCCTACTTGCATTATTTTCATTTGATACAACCTTTTGGGTCTGTTTTCTTTACACTGTACTCACCAAAAGCTCTTTTAGACTCTGAGAGCCTCTCCTCATCCGTGGAGTCAATGACATAGATCACCCCGTGAGACTCAGCATAGTACTGAAAGGAGAGCACAGACATTTGTGTCTGTCCACCAGGACCATTTGTTCCTCTCCCTGATCTTATGTTCATTTGGTAACATTTTGAGAGATCACCAGCTGGAGAGAATGGAGGCACAAAGCATGTGCTGCCTGTCTACAGATCTGCTCAACACAACAGGTGAAGCAGCTCACCTGTGCCCCCTCAAGCTTCCCTCTACTGGCACAACCCCTAGATCTGGGTTGGCAATTGCTGCCTGTAAATAATAATGCAAATATTAACCATTATCTTTGCTGATCTTGCACAGAAATAGCTGATTCTCTGGAAAAGTGTTGATGCTAAATACTGGCGTTACCAATAATGGTGTGATTAGTAAATGATTGCACTGGTTCAGTTCTAAGGAGACAAACCACTTCTAAAAGGAATCTTAGAATGGTTTGGGTTGGAAGGCACCTCAAAGCTCATCCCATTCCAACCCCCTGCCATGTGCAGGGACATCTTCCACTAGCCCAGGTAGCTCCAAGCCCCATCCAACCTGGCCTGGAACACTTCCAGGGATGGGGCAGCCATAGCTTCTCTGGTAAAGTCGCATAAATCAAACCACATCTCTAACCTTGTCCCAAAGCGACTGCAGCTCCTCCTGGCCACCAAGATCCCAGAACATCAGCCGAGTTTTGCCAACATCGATAGTTCCAACTAGAGGGAAAAGAGAAAAGACAATCCAGTGAAAACCCGAGGTGTTGTAAAGCACAAACAGCTGCACACCCTGCTCAGAGATCTGGGGTAGGACAGGGATGAATCACAGGCAGTGGCTGCTTGCAGCAACAGAACAAGAGAGCCCACAAATATAGGCCATATCACTGCAAATAATACCAGAACTGGGCCAAGGAATGAACTCCAGTGAAATTTACCTCGAGCACAGCACTGAAATGGAATGCTTAGGTTTTTAAGACTTCAGGGTCTTTATCTCCTAAGCTAAGAAAGCCTATGTTATTCTCTTCAAGAGCCCTGGGCAGCTGGGAGATACAGTCTCTGCTTCCAGGAACTACTTTGCCCTTGTCAATTCTTAAACATTTCAAACGAGAACCAACTGTTGTCTCACTGCAAAATTCCAAATGGATTTACTTACTGTTTAAGCCTACAGTGGTTGTGATTTTGGACAAACTCATCCCTTTGTAGTTCTTGTTAAATCGAGTTTTAGTTTGTTCCAGGAAGGTCTGAAAAGGAATAAGACAAAGTATTTAGTTCCAAATATTTTGCTGGCTGGGGCAAAATCCCACCCCAACCTTTCATTCCTGCAGAATTCTGTTCCAGCAGATACTGCTCTAGGTAATGTTGGACAAACCACTGTTCTTGCTCACTATTTTAGCAAGGAAAGAAGGGATCACAGGTGATTATGGGATTACCATGGCTCAGCCACATCCCTGAAAGCTTGTGCTACATTTAAGTAAAGGGGAAAGGTTGATTGTTTGGTGTGA